TTTACCAAATCTTCATGCAACTGCCTACCTTTTCAAAAATAAACGAAGTCATAAGAGTATCTCCTGCTAATTGTTTCTCATTTATCCACACCAATAATAACTTAACCTCTTCCAGTACTGGTGATCTCATTTTTGCCCAGCATAGTTAACTCCCTTTGCAACAACGCATCCTTTATTTCATTTTTCTTGGCCACTATGGAACATAAGGTTGTGTAGGGTTTCTTTTTACATCCCTGGACAGTTCGGCCACACTTGTACCACTTCAAATTGTTCAATGAGGGTTTTTTCTTAAATTCAATCGTATTTCTCACCTTCTTTACCACAGGCTTAGCACTAGGAGCTTTCTTTGGAGCCATGGTAGCTTATTTAGTACTTGCAAGCACTAAAATAAATGGAATATTATGAAATATTTCGCTGGAGCACACGAGGGGACCTTCGCTCACTGGTAAACAATGCCAGACTGGCTGCCGCCCTGGCCCACGTCGTGCGTACGCGTCCCGGACGAACTACTACTCGCGAGTCAACCTATGAAAAGCGAGTCCATGTTTATACGGAAATACCCCTATGATTGGCGAATTTTACGATTGCCGGGAACTACGAAAAGCGGGGGACCACTGTATTTCATAATATTCCATTGATTTTAGTGCTTGCAAGTGCTAAATAAGCTAGCATGGCTCCAAAGAAAGCTCCTAGTGCCAAGCCTTTGGTAAACAAGGTAAGAAATACGATTGAATTTAAGAAAAACATCATTGAACAATATGAAAATGGCGTACGTGTGGGCAAACTGGCCAGGATGTATAATAAATCCCGTGCAACCATATCATCCATCATAGCCAAGAAAAAGGAAATCAAGGACGCTGTTGTTGCAAAGGGGGTAAATATGCTGACAAACATGAGATCACCAGTACTCGAAGATGTTGAGAAGTTATTGTTGGTGTGGATAAATGAGAAACAATTAGCAGGAGATACTCTAATGATTTCGATTATTTGAGAAAAGGCTAGGCAGTTACATGACGATTTGGTAAAGAAATTGCCTGCAACTAGTGGTGATGTGAGTGAATTCAAGGCCAGCAAAGGCTGGTTTGAGAGAGTTAAGAAGCGTACTGGCATACACAGTGTGGTAAGGCATGGTGAGGCTGCCAGTTCTGACAACAAAGCGGCTGAAAAATATGTGCAGGAATTTCAAGGAGAAACATAGAGGCTGAAGGACTAAAACCCTGAACAAGTGTTCAATTGTGACGAAACAGGCCTCTTTTGGAAAAAAAATGCCAATGAGGACCTACATTACTCAGGAAAAAAAAGGCACTGCCGGGACACAAGCCTATGAAAGACAGGCTGACGCTCATGTTCTCTGCAATGCAGGGGGGAATTTCAAAGTGAAGCCTTACCAGTGTACCATTCTAAAAAATGCCAGAGTGTTCAAAAAAAATCAATTTTATGAAGAGTAAATTGTGGGGTGTTTTGGAGATCTAATAGTAGGCATGGGTCCAAGGGACTTTTTTTGTCGAGTGGTTCAATAAAAGTGTTTGGCCCTAGTGTGAAGAATTACCTCCTGGAAAAAAAATTGTATCTCAAGTGCCAAACTAGTAATGGACAATGCACCTGCTCATCCTCCAAACTTGGATGACCTAATTCTGAAGGAGTTTGGTTAATCACAGTAAAGTTCTTGCCCCTGAATGCCACTCCTCTCCTCCAGCCCATGGACCAGCAAGTTATTTCAAACTTTAAAAAACTTACACCAAAGCAATGTTTTTAAAAGGGGCTTTAATGTGACCTCAGACACTCACTTGACCCTAAGAGATTTTTGTAAAGAACACTTTAGTTTTTCTCCATTTCAAAAAGCCTTTTAGGTTAAGGCTTGGGAAAGGGGGTGATACCAGGACTTTGAACTCTGTTTGGAGAAAATTATGGCCAGATTGTGTCCACAAGAGGGATTTTGAAGGGGTTTTAGGCAGCCCCTGATGAGCCTATGTCAGTTGTGAACTCTATTGTGGCACTGGGGAGTTCCATGGGGTTGAATGTGAGTTTGGAGATGTGGAAGAGTTGGTGGAGGACCTCAACGAAGAGCTAACCACTTTAGGAGCTGCCCAAAAGCTTCAGCAGGAAAGCAAAGATCGCAGCTCAGAATCTTGCTGCAGAGGAGGAGGAAGAGAGATGGAAGAAGGTACCTTCTTCAGAAATTAAGGAGATTTTTGAAATGTGGGGTAGGATGGAAAGATTTATGGAGAAACATCACCCTGAGAAGGATGTTGCAAAACCAATTCGGCAACTTGTACAGTGACGTCTTGGCCCATTTAGGGAAGTTTTTAAAGAGACGCCAGAAACAGAGCTCTCTGGACAGTTTTTTTTTCGAGATAGGACTCCAGTGACTCTCAAGCCCGGTCCAGTGGCATTAAGAAACAGAGAAGAGAAGTAACCCCAGAAAAGCCCAAATTTGGGACCTGAGGTGTTGATGGAAAGGGATTCCCCTTCCAAACAGTAAATAATCCAATCTGTCTCCTTCTCCAGTCTTCAATACACTAAGAAGAATCGCCAATAAAGGTAAGTGTTATTCTGTTAATGTTTCATTCATCATGTGCCATTGTATTGTTTATGTACTACATCTATATTTCATGTAAAAATTTTTTTTTGTTTTAATACTTCTGGGCATCAGGAATGGATTAATTGCATTTACATTATTTCTCATGGGGAAAATTGATTCGAAAATCGTCTATTTCGATAATAGTCCCACTTCCAGGAACGGATTATGGACGATTATTGAGGGACCACTGTATTAATAAATTTAAATAAACAAATAAAATAACATTTTACTTACTTTTATTGAAGATTGGTGATGGCATCTGGAAGATAGGGAGGAGGAGAGAGGGAGTTGGTTCGAAAAAAGGGTTCTATTTTCGAAGAGTTCGAAAAGTGATACGTTCAAAATTTGAGGTTCCACTGTATAATTCATTTAATTCTTGAATATGAACAAATAATCCCTTCTTTTTCATCTACAGCTGATTATTTAATAATTCTGCACCCCTTCTTTAGCTCTGGCTCTCTCAGATACACCTGATTTAATCCTCTTTACTCATCCACTGAAATTCTCCCATCCCCTTGTGGATAAACAAAATTAGTGAATACAGAAGCCTACAAATTTGCACGCACATCCGGTTAGCTGGACTTGAATCCTGAAGCTGGGAATAATATTACTGTTACATGTATACAGGAGGTGAGGAGAGCTAAACCTGCCAGGGTCATGCAAGGCCTGGGAGAATAGAAGGCAATCAGATCTGATCAAAGGAAAGAGAGGATAAGTAAAAAAAATTAGTGTCTGCACTCTGAAGGAAAGGTGGGGATGTTATGGGGATTCACTAATCATGGTGTCTGCACACTTCAGGTAACAGAGTAACACATGAGGGAAGGTGAATGTGCTTCTTAGTTTTTAAAATCACCCTACCTCAGTGGAAGGTAGCCAGTTCTAAAAAAATATATACAGTGGACCCCCGGTTTACGATATTATTTCATTCCAGAAGTATGTTCAGGTGCCATTACTGAATGAATTTATTCCCATAAGGAATACCTTGAATTAGATTAGTCCATTTCAGACCCCCAAACATACACGTACAAATGCACTTACATAAATACACTTACATAATTGGTCGCATTGGGAGCTGATCGTAAAGTGGGGGACCACTGTACATGAATAGTCAAATCTACATACTAGAGTCATCAGATGTTTGCTGAAATTTCTATTTCATGGGGCTGATCTCCATCTCTTGGTCTCTAATATTGTGTACTGATGACAACTTACACTCAGTTGGCACTCTTTGCTCAACACAGAAATTTCACCACATCAACTACAAGAAGTCCTCTGAATAAAAACTATATGCTGGAGGGAGAATCAGTTTTAACCCTTTCAGGGTCCGTGCCATAAATCTACGGCATCAAAGCCAGGATCCAAACCGTAGATCTACACCATGAGCTCAGCTCAATCAGATAACCTGTGAGCGGTAAATTTGGGCCTAGATATGATAAAACACATCTATGTGGTAAGTGTGCACCACATAAAATAAATCCTGCAGCACACAGTGCATAATGAGAGAAAAAAAAACTGCGACCGTAATTTTGGATTAAAACAGTGACTCTGCAGTGTTTTCACGTTTTTTACAGTTGTATTCGCGATTTCTTGATCTCATTTGATCGAATGGAATATATATTATGGAAATAAAGATGATTTTGACTGGTTTTAGTACTGAAAATGGCTTGAAATTGAGCTCTAAGTAGTGGAAATGTTCAATTTTTGCCTATGTTCAAGAGTAAATAAATGTTGTCACGAATCTTATACACATCAGTTGGTGGGTCTAATATATTCAGGAATGTGCTGATATTATTTATACAATTATTACAACGTTGCATAACAGTAATTCTTCTATTTTTTGGTGTGAATAAAAAATCAAAATGGAATTAATTTGTAAAGCATGAAAACGTAACTAATGAACAGAGGAAAAGTTAATTTAGTGCCAGGAATGCTTGCATAGTTTATTCTGGACCCTTTAATAAAATTGAAATATTTTAAACTTTGTGTTAAATTGGCAAATTACCAATTTCCGATCACTTTATTGGGAAGTTGAAACAGTTGACTGGGTGATTTCTTGTGCTCAATCGATAAAATAGAAGTAATACTAGCAAAATAGCTAATAATTTGGTTGACTGGAATAATGTAATTCACCTAAAATGGGAATCAAAGTTGGCAAAATCGCCGATGTGTAAATATTGCTGATGCATCAAAATTTGTGAGAGTGTAATTTCGTCAATTTTCCATCAAATTTCGTACTTTTTGCTTTATTACCTTCAGAAAATTATTCTCTACCATTTCATAAAAAAAAATAACAAAATCTTTTTTAAATTCTTGAACCCTGGCTGTCACTCTGAGATTTGGCCTCTGGACCCTGAAAGGATTAATAATACTATAAGCAAACACATTCAGACAAATATGACACATTACAAACAATATTTACCTGTAAGAATCTTTGCAGTATTCTTCTGGTACACCAAGACACGAGGCTCACTCTTTTCAAGAGCATTTACTGCATCTACCACATTCTGTACTTGTTCTACCTAGAAAATTACAAAGTCCATTACATTTCAAAGCACTCTGAAATACAAAATGTCAATTTACAATATACAATCAAAGACTATTTTTCCCTTCATTTTATTAAACCAATCTCTTTCTCTTTCATTTCTTCCTACTTATCTCATCATCTCTCTCTCACAACACACACGTGCATGCAAGCATGTATGCACAAACTGTAGTAGTGACTAGCTAAGAGGCAGGGTCAGGAGCTGTGAATCAACCCCAATAACCCCATAAAGATGATTAGTGGTCACTTTATTAGATGCACCCTTCTAGTACAGTGGACCCCCGCATACCGTTGGCATCACATACCGTTTATTCCGCATACCGCTCACTTTAATCGCAAAAAGTTTGCCTCGCATACCGCTCAAAAACCCGCTCACCGCTGTTCGTCCGAGACGTGTCCAATGTGCGCCTTAGCCAGCCTCACATGTTCCGCCAGTGGCATTGTTTACCAGCCAGCCTCCGCGGTAGCATCCAAGCATACAATCGTAACATTTCGTATTATTACAGTGTTTTTGGTGATTTTATCTGGAAAATAAGTGACCATGGGCCCCAAGAAAGCTTCTAGTGCCAACCCTACAGCAATAAGGGTGAGAATTACTATAGAGATGAAGAAAAAGATCATTGATAAGTATGAAAGTGGAGTGCGTGTCTCCGAGCTGGCCAGGTTGTATAATAAACCCCAATCAACCATCGCTACTATTGGTGGTACAGCTGCTGCTGCTGCACTGTCAGCTGCTGCTGCTGCTGTAGCATCATCTGCTGCTGCTGTAGCATCGTCTGCTGCTGCTGTAGCACTGTCAGCTGCTGCTGCAGCTGTAGCATCGTCTGCTGCTGCTGTAGCATCGTCTGCTGCTGCTGCTGCTGTAGCATCGTCTGCTGCTGCTGTAGCATCGTCTGCTGCTGCTGTAGCACTGTTGTTGGTGTGGCTTATTGAGAATATACCAAGAAACAATTAACCCCAGAGGATTTGCCACCCAGGATAACCCAAAAAAGTCAGTGTCATCGAAGACTGTCTAACTTATTTCCATTGGGGTCCTTAATCTTGTCTCCCAGGATGCAACCCACACCAGTTGACTAACACCCAGGTGAACAGGGAAAAATGCCTGGAACTAGTGCACATATTGGTGAATTTAAAGCCAGCAAAGGTTGGTTTGAGAGATTTAAGAATCGTAGTGACATACACAGTGTGATAAGGCATGTTCTGGAAGAAAATACCAAACAGGACCTACAGTACTCAGGAGGAAAAGGCACTCCCAGGACACAGTGTCTCATCAGTCATTGCTGCATCTTCAGTAAAGGTAAGTGTCATTTATTCTTCATTTAGTAGACTAGTACATGCACAATATATACTGTGCATGTACTACTCTACTATTGTGCATGTATCCTTCTCTTTGTGTGTAGGAAAATGTATATTTCACGTGGTAAAATTTTTTTTTTCATACTTTTGGGTGTCTTGCACGGATTAATTTGATTTCCATTATTTCTTATGGGGAAAATTCATTCGCATACCGATTATTTCGGTATGCGGGGGTCCACTGTACTGGGTAGGGCCCCCCTTTGGTCCCAGAACAGCCTGAATTTTCAGTGGCATGGATTCTATAAGGTGCTGGAAACATTCCTTAGAAATTCTGGTCTATATTGTCATGATAGTACCACACAGTTGCTGTAGATTTGCAGGCTGCACATACATGCTGTGACTCTCGTTCCACCACATTCCAAAGGTTTATGCCATATTCTGACCCTACCATCTACATGTCACAACAGAAATCATGATACATCACACCAGGTGACATTTTTTTCAATCTTCAACTGTACAGTTTTGGTGAGCTCTTATACACTGCAGTCTCAGTTTCCTGTTCTTAGCCGAGAGGAGTGGAACCCAATGTGTTCTCCTGTTGCTGTAGAGAATCCATTTCCACGATCAACATGTTGTGCATTAAGAGATGCTCCTCTGCATACCTCTGTTGTTATGTGTTATTATTTGATTTACTGTCACCTTCCTATCACCTTGAACCAGTCTGGCCATTTATCTCTGACCTCTCTCATTAATACATTATTTGAGTTATGTCACCTTCCCATCACCTTGAACCAGTCTGGCCATTCATCTCTGACCTCTCTCATTAACAAGGCATGTGCACCCGCAGAACTGCTGCTCACTGAATTTTTTATGTTTTTCACACCATTCTCTGTAAATTCTAGACACTGTAGTGCATGAAATCTCAGAGCAACAGTTTCTGAGATATTCAAACCATCCATTTTCAACACCAATAATCATTTAATATACAAATTATAAATAGTTCCATAGTCAAAGTCAGTCAGATCACATTTCTTTCTCTTTCTGATGTTCGGTCTACACAACAACTGAACCTCTTAACCATGTCTGCATGCTTTTAGGCACTGAGGTTCTGTCATGTGTTTGGCTGATTAGACATTTACATCAATGAACAGATGTACCTAATAAAAGTGCCCACTGAGAGTATTTATTATATATAGTCACACAATACCCATAAAATCCTCACTATTTCTCTGCAAACATACTTTCTCTTACCTGACTCTTTGGAAAATTCTCTTAGATACTGTGTGAGGTTTCATCAAAAAGTTCTGACTATCTTTTACAGGTGGCACTGTGGATGCAGTGAAATGTGCTGTACCACATGGTCAGTCAGTTCTTTTAGAAAGATTCTGATGAAATTAATGATAATATAACTAGAATAAACTGCCACAAGCTGTGTGAAAATAGTTGCTAGTTTCTGCACAATGACAATGCATTTTTGTAAGTTGCTGTTTCCTTTCAAGAATTTTTTGATGAAAAGATTCCTTTCATACCACACCCTCTGTATTCATTCATACATGTTCATTGTGATTCCTTTCTGTTTCCAAATATCAAAATGAAGTTGCAAGGAAGAAAATATGATGATATTCCAACCATCCATGAAAATTTGACAGTGGAATGACAAACTCACAGTTAAACACTTCCAACACTGCTTCTGAAACTGGCAGTATTCTGGGAAGAATACTGTCAATGGGACAACTCATAAAAATAATAACTACTGCCTCACCCACCATTAATAACAGTTGCTTTACCACCATCCATCATACCCACTGCTTTACCACCTTCCATTATACCCACTGCTTTACCACCATCCATCATACCCACTGCTTTACCACCTTCCATCATACCCACTGCTTTACCACCATCCATCATACCCACTGCTTTAATACCTTCCATCATACCCACTGCTTTACCACTTTCCATTATACCCACTGCTTTACCACCGTCCACCATACCCACTGCTTTACCACTATCCATCATACCCACTGCTTTACCACCATCCATCATACCCACTGCTTTAATACCTTCCATCATACCCACTGCTTTACCACTTTCCATTATACTCACTGCTTTACCACCATCCATTATACCCACTGCTTTACCACCATTCATCATACCCACTGCTTTACCACATTCCATCATACCCACTGCTTTAATACCTTCCATCATACCCACTGCTTTACCACTTTCCATTATACCCACTGCTTTACTACCATCCATCATACCCACTGCTTTACCACCATCCATCATACCCACTGCTTTACCACCTTCCATCATACCCACTGCTTTACCACCTTCCATCATACCCACTGCTTTACCACCATCCATCATACCCACTGCTTTACCACCATCCATCATACCCACTGCTTTACCACATTCCATCATACCCACTGCTTTACCACCATCCATCATACCCACTGCTTTACCACATTCCATCATACCCACTGCTTTACCACATTCCATCATACCCACTGCTTTACCACCATCCATCATACCCACTGCTTTACCACATTCCATCATACCCACTGCTTTACCACCATCCATCATACCCACTGCTTTACCACATTCCATCATACCCACTGCTTTACCATCATCCATCATACCCACTGCTTTACCACCATCCATCATACCCACTGCTTTACCACATTCCATCATACCCACTGCTTTACCACCATCCATCATACCCACTGCATTACCCTCTTCCATCATATCCACTGTTTTACCATCATCCATCATACCCACTGCTTTACCATCATCCATCATACCCACTGTTTTACCACCCTCCATCATATCCACTGTTTTACCATCATCCATCATACCCACTGCTTTACCATCATCCATCATACCCACTGTTTTACCACCCTCCATCATATCCACTGTTTTACCATCATCCATCATACCCACTGTTTTACCACCCTCCATCATATCCACTGTTTTACCATCATCCATCATATCCACTGTTTTACCACCCTCCATCATATCCACTGTTTTACCACCCTCCATCATATCCACTGTTTTACCACCCTCCATCATATCCACTGTTTTACCTCCCTCCATCATATCCACTGTTTTACCACCCTCCATCATATCCACTGTTTTACCACCCTCCATCATATCCACTGTTTTACCACCCTCCATCATACCCACTGTTTTACCTCCCTCCATCATATCCACTGTTTTACCTCCCTCCATCATATCCACTGTTTTACCTCCCTCCATCATATCCACTGTTTTACCACCCTCCATCATATCCACTGTTTTACCACCCTCCATCATATCCACTGTTTTACCTCCCTCCATCATATCCACTGTTTTACCACCCTCCATCATATCCACTGTTTTACCACCCTCCATCATATCCACTGTTTTACCACCCTCCATCATATCCACTGTTTTACCACCCTCCATCATATCCACTGTTTTACCTCCCTCCATCATATCCACTGTTTTACCACCCTCCATCATATCCACTGTTTTACCTCCCTCCATCATATCCACTGTTTTACCACCCTCCATCATATCCACTGTTTTACCACCTCCATCATATCCACTGTTTTACCACCCTCCATCATATCCACTGTTTTACCACCCTCCATCATATCCACTGTTTTACCTCCCTCCATCATATCCACTGTTTTACCACCC